GAAGGGATTTTTCGAAATTCCAGTTCCAAGAGGGTAAAACCACCCCTCAAATATTACAATATTTTTTATTTAAAAAACGGTCAAGTTCCGTTTAAGATTTTTTAAAAATGTATACAGGGTGTTTCGAAAAATCTGGTCATTGATTAATCACGATACTGCTTAAAGCGCTTGACCTAAAAAGCTGATTTTTGGAAAACAGATTGACCTTAGGGTGTAGAGGTTCGATAAGAAGGAATTTTTCGAAACTCGAATTCTAAGGGGGTGAAACTATCCCTCAAATATTAAAATATTTTTTACTTAAAAACCGGTGAGTTTTTCGGAAAAACTCTTAAACACGTATATTTTATTTTGTTGTTTTACATATTTTAAGATTTTTAAAAAATTTATATAGGGTGTTTCATAAAATATGACCCTTGAGTAATCACGATTCTGCTTAAACTGTTTGACGTTTAAAGCTGATTTTTGGTAAACGGATTGACTGTGGGGTGTAGAGGTTCGATAAGGAGGGGTTTCTCGAATCTCAAATTCCAAAAGGGTGAAAACGCCCCTCAAATATTACAATATTTGTTATTTAAAAAACGGTTAGTTTTTCGGCAAAACGCTTGGACAAGCATAATTTATTTGGTTTTTTTACATATTTTGAAATTTTATAAAAAATCATACAGAGTGTTCCAAAAAGTTGGGTAATTTCTTAACCACGATTCTGCTTAAACTGCTTGACGTAAAAAGCTTATTTTTGGCAAACGGATTTTTCGAAAGTCAAATTCCAACGACATGAAACTACCCCTCAAATATTACCAAGTTATATAATAATATCGCCATATTGTTTTTTCTCATACTGACATAAATGTGAGAAAATTTTATCCAGTTTGTATGTTAATGGAAATTCTTGCTTTGCTTTATCATCACCATTACAAATGATTAATTCGACGCGAACGAAGTCGCTGGTACACGCTAGTCCCTAAAATATTTATTAATACAATAGAGACTCGATTAACTGGAGTAATTGTCGTTAGGCATTCGGATAGTTGAATTCAGAAGGTTTTTAGACGGATTTTGTACCTTTTGGGGAGTAGTTTTAGGGGGAAACGCATTAAACAAGTTGCAACAGAGGCACCTTAGACAACTTTTTAGAATCGAATGATTCCACCATGTCCCAAACGTATCGGTCCTTGAAAAAGCTAACTGCGAGAGCGTTGAAGTCATAGTTACAAAATCCCGCTTAACATGGGCTGGTTACGTATGCAGAATGCAAGAAAACCGCCTACCAAAATATCCGCTTTACGGAGAGCTTGTATATGGTAGAATGTAGAATGTAGAATGTTTAGGAGGGGAGTTAATCACCGCGACCTTATAGATCTATTGTGTGTTCCCCTTTCTTGAGTTATAACGAGTTATAACTCATCATACAGTCTCAGGGCTTTAAGAAAAGCCAGTATCTGAGACGGCTCCACAGAGGCCAGCTCTCCATCCTCGACAGTTAAATAATTATAAAAGAGTTAAATTATAATTAAAGATATAATTAATTAATTACATTAAACACATTTTACAGTATTAATTAAATATACCACCATTATTTCCGCCCAAATATTAATTAATTACATACTTAATTGTGTTAGTTAATAAATTATTCTAAATAAATGTGGATTTGAATCAGAAATCCATATAATAATAAGTTATGAAAATGAACGTATCTGTTGTTAGAAATAAGCATTCGTCAAAAAACGAAATAAAATTTTTAAGGTATTACTTTTTACCACACTGTCTAATACACATAAAAAATCAGATTTTTAGTGTTTGGAGCAATTCTTATTAATCAACGAAAGCAGTCAATTATTAACGTAGTTTGAATACTTTAATCATATTAATTGGTCCTCTTTAACAAACATTTAAAAATTTTTTTTTTTTTATTTTTTAATGAAATAAATGAACTATAACGACAATATTAGTATCCGTGGTCTTTAAAAATGTGTTAGATCTTTAAAAATAATCTAAAATGTCAATATTCCATGGGTATATTAATAAATGAGATCTAAATTATAAGGAAATGGATTTTCTACGAAAACTTGAAGAAATAGGTAAAAAATGGCATAATACAATTTGATAGACAATTAAATTGTGCATCTGATTCTCATAAAATATACAGGGTGTTCCATTTAAATTAAACAAGTTATTACCGTTTGAAACTGGTAATTATTTAAAATAAATTTTTAGGCACTCTGTATAATGTAGAATAATTTTTATTATTGCAACACAAAATTTAGCAAATAGAAATACTTCAGTACAATATTTGTTTTTAAAAACTTAAATACGCCTAGAGAAATGAAGCATTAAAATTATTACTGTATTTTGACAGAAACCTAAATATTTCAAAAACGGTCAGATTAAAAAGCGGTAAACCTTAATCAAATTTACCTTTATTTTAATCGTAAAAACTGAAAATGTAATAATATACAGGGTGTTCCATTTTAAAAAAATACAGCTTTGATATTTTTTATTTATTTGGGACACTCTTGTAAAAATATTTTTAAATTGTAGCCCTAGTAGTTCCTTCAGCGAACCCAAAACTTATAATTTGCAAAAATCTAATCGTTTAGCTACGATACTCCGTGTCGTATGTGGTGAACAAACCTGTATAATAAAAAAAAATTGCGAGAGCACCGCCCACGCAACTTTTTTAAAATCGAAAATTGGTACTTCTAATTTTAGCCGTAAAATAATATCCTTGTTATCGATGGGATGATTCTATATATTGTTATTATAAGCTTTGTTGTTTGTATTTTTAACGTAACGAGTAACAAATTAGTAATTTGTAAACGACCAACTCACAATTGTTTGCGAAACAATTTCAGTTAACTCTATACTGATATTCTTTTAATTGGATTTTAGTCGGCATTTTGAACGTGTTTTTATTTTTAATTAAAATCCGATTTCGAATAAAGTGAATTTAAAAAACAGTTTGTAAAATTAGAATTTTTTTTTATTATTCATATCATCATACACAGTTCTGTTATAACCCCAAATTAGGGTGATGCTATTATTGCGTATTCTTCATTCATTTGTGCCCAGGTTCGAAACTTTCTAAAATATAAAATAATTTTTCTTCTTCTTTTTTAAACACCCTGTATATTATTTTTTGAGTAGAGGGAGAAAAACGTACTATCAAAACCATTAAACATTTTGAAATACTTTAAATATAAAAAATATAATTTTTTAATTCTCCATCTAATAAAAAATTTAATATACAGGGTGTTACCATTTAAAAATACGAAAAAAAATATTTTATATTTTAAAAAGTTTGGCATAGAATTTTGGACACCGTGTATAGTTTAAAATTAAAATATTTGTGTCAAGGCAAGTACAGATCCACTAAAGTAAACACTTAATATAGTTTCGATTTCAGGACATTTCTAGTATTTTTAATAATTTTTTTAAAAAAGGCTGAAAAAAAAAATATTTATTTATTTATTTATTAATATCTTTGATTGTCTAAACTTAATAATATCTTAGGATCATGTAAAGAGAAAAGGAAGCCAAAAATGCAATAATATACAGGGTGTTCCGTTTAAAAAAAATAATCCCAATCCACTCACACTTTTTTAAGCCACCCTGTAGAAGTTAAACTATTTTCCTGAAATACATCCTAATAAATACTTTAGGTTTACACTTTCATTTTCTCTCGTTTTTTTAGGAACAAAATTTCATAACATAAACAAAAAAAAGCATAACGTTTTTATTATAGGAGCTGTATACAGATGCCCGACGCACTATTGCCGGACCCTGTATAAACTTTTTGCCTTAAAAACATATATGAGGAGTCACACCATATTTTTTATATACTACTGTATATCTCAAAATAATTTCAGGTGCGAAAAACTTACCGTTGTTGTTGATGCCGTTCAAGAGCGACGCCGCTGACGTAAGGCCGACGCGCGTCCGCCGCAAAATCCACAACATGGCGCGACGACGCTCCGCAAAGCACTGATGCGACGGCGATAAAGCGGACGAGCGTCGCGGCGCCCTGAGGGGTTCAAATGCCGCGACAAATGCGTCCGAGTTGTCGCGTTCGGCGTCGTTGGTTCATGGTTCAAGTTCAAAGGCGAACATCAGGGAGTTGTCGAGAAAAACAACGCCTTGGTGACAGCTAACAAATGAACAAAAAAAAATAAGGAAAAAGTCAAATAGCGTATGATTGAAAGAGAAGTGCGCCAAGTTGGCTTAAAAATGACGATTGATGACATTTATCAAATAAGAAAAATTTTATATTATAAGTCATTTATCTGTGGTCATTTCTCTATGGAGAAAAATCATGTTGGGTAGCCATGGAGTAGCCTAGTCGCAATATATTGCACCTCCACGAGTAGCAACAAAACATCCCCCTTTAGAACATTTTCTGTAATGGCAATGACTCTAAGTAAAAACTATACTGTGCGAACAAACATTAGAGGCCCTGCTAGTCATTAAAAAGTTAACAAATATTCATTTGTTTTTTAAATATGTCAATATTTTTATTTTGTTGCGTTTTGTGCATTAATTGCCAAACCGATCCTGTCGTATTAAGCCACACCCAAAATTCCAAACACACGTGCTTTGATTAAGGTTTGCAGAGCCATTGCAGAGCTTCAGCATTTGCCATAAAATAGCGAGTAATTTGTTACGAAACCATATAAATTATATATCACTAATCACAAAACTTCAATTTATTTCTGTATTGTAACGGAATTTAAATTATGTCTTTATTTTCGAGAACATTTAGTTCAAACATTAGGAATATTTTGTTGATGTTTGACCATCATAATCTTAAAAATAAAGTTGTCTAAAAATGTCCTACTATACGGATATAGTATAATCCTTTATCTTAAATTTTCTTCTTCATTTATGTAAAAATACTTAGCCAGTTTTACATAAAATGACTCTTAGATTCTTTAGAATTTTTTACAAAACATTGCAGAAATGGAATATTACTTAAGTTCAAAAAATTTTAAGTGATAAATCCTAGAGTCTGTAAAATAAATATCTTTATTAATGAAAATTACAAAACGTACATAACATACTTAAATATATTTTAAACACAAAATAAATAGAATAACAACTAATATAATAATAATTACATTGACTTTGTCAGGTACACAGAGGACTGTTTTATATAAGCGTCTAACTTAGTTTTAAATAATTCTGATTGGATGGGTTCGTTCAAACTACACAGTGGATTTTTCACTACATATTCCACAAAAATCTAAAAAAAAAGAAAAAAATTGAGGTACTAAATTAAAACCTACATGCTAATTCTGATGACTTACTTCTTTATATATTTGATGTAACAAGTCTCTCACTCCTTGGGAATGATTATCTGTATTTAAAACAAACTTCAAACCAGATGGGGTCTCTAAATAATGCAAAGTGTACTTTGATGTTTTGTAGTACAAGAAACCTTCCTTAGTATCCAACGGAGAAATCTTATTTACAAACGACTTCAATGAAAATAACATTCCATACATTAATTTAGCTTCCTGAAAATATACCACTATATATAATATAATATACTAGACCTTTTAAATTGTTAATTAAAATATTTCTACCTCTTCTCTAGTCATTCCTGAATTTTTCAACCTATTCCATTCTTGATAAAATAACAGACTGCCTTGTTTATCAAAAATGTATATGTTATGAACAGTCATTTTTATAATATAACTAATATATTCTAATATATTTATTCTTTTTTTCCACAAAAATAAAATTACAACTTTGTTGGGTTAAAATTATGGTTAGTTTGCGATTTTGACATTTCTTAAAAATGTCAGGCCTCAACCTAGTTTCTGGTCTTCTTTTCAAGAATCGACACATTAGGGCTATAAGGCATATTTATTTCTACTAGTATTATTGGAATATGATTTGGCCGTATAGTCCTGGCAGCTTGAGCCGTAAAACCAATCAAAAGAGAAGAATATGATTGGAAATGAAAATGGCGTTTTTAACATTGTGTTTAACATTTCTTGTTTCTTTAGTTTATTGTTGTGAAAATTAAAATAAATACGAAAACATTTCAAATTAAGATCAAGCAGTTATGAAAATTGAATAAATTAACTGTAATTTTCTAAGGTAAATATGCAGAAACGAAAGAAAACAATTTCGAAGAGCAATCAAAGAAAAAGGAAATATAGTAGCAGTTCTGATAGTTCATCTAGTTCTGACTCGGAAAGTGATTGTTCGTCTAGTACCAGCAGTTCTTCTAGTTCATCTGATTTATCAGAACCTTGTTCGAGCTCTAGCAGCACCTCTAGGTAAACATTATTCAAGATTTTATTGATTCGAGATACCTATACTCAATATGTTTTTGTAGTAGTTCTAGTTCGAGTAGTAGTAATAGTAGCTCAAGTTCATCATCGACCGATGACAATCGTAGGAGAATGAAGAAAAATAGAGCTCTGCTAAAACGAAAATTAAAAGAGAAACTGAAAGAAAATGACCACGCAAAAGAAGAAAGAGAAGAATAAAAAATAAGTATTCGAAAAAGGTACCTAGTATTCATTATTCCTATATTATAGTTCAACTGATAAATTTACAGTTCTGTTTTTTTGTGCTTAGACTTCAGACAAAAGTGACAAACATAGCAAGACCAATAAAAAGCTAAAGAAAAATGAGGATAAAGTAGATAATGATATTCCTATTGAGTTAATGGGAAAATCAAAAGCAACAGCTAATAGTGTTAGGAGGGTGTACTATGAAGACACTGAACAAAGCAAAACCAATAAAAAGCTAAAGAAAAATGAGGACAAAGTAGATAATGAATCAAACGATATTCCTCTTGAGTTGATGGAAAAATCAAAAACCATGGCTCCCATGCGGAAGGAAGATTGGGAGAAACAACAAAATGTTGTTAGAAGAGTATTCTGTGAAGATACTGGAAGATACAGGTACTGTATGATTGAAGAGGACCGGCGTCAAAGACAGCTAGGGGATCACAATTTAGGAAAAATGTGGCGAGGCCAGTTTCTAGATGTCATTTATTGAAAATTGACATAAAATTTTTTTTAAGGCTATTAAAGGCAGTTAGTGTTATTAGAAAATATAGAAGAGTAATGGGGGCCAGGTAATGAGCTGTAGGGCTTGACCTCACCAAAATTACCATTGATTGTCATTCCACAGCTATCTTTGATGCCGTTTTTTATTTTAGATTGTATGGTATTTGCTTTGATACAGAATGATCGCAAAAAAAACCGCGTCAGCGATGACTGTGAAATGAAGCTCGCTGTCATTTTATATGTAAATTTATATGGGAAATGTCATCGATTGTCATTTCATAGCCATCGCTGACGCCGTTTTTGTTCAATCATAAGGTATTACTAATCTCTCTGTATTTCTACTTATTTTCAGATTGATTAAAGGAGATGGAGAAGTATTAGAAGAGATAGTGAGCAAAGACAAACATATAGAGATTAACAAACAGGCTACTAAAGGCGATGGCGAATACTTCCAAAAAAAATTAAAACAAAACATTAAATAGCACAAGAGTTTCCTTTTTTGTATAGAATGTATGCATCTGTTTAAGCTGTATATTAATTTATTTATTATCAAATAACCTTAATTAGTGGCAATCAGCATCAAATAATGAAATCAAAAAGTTCTATGAAGTCAAAGCTCGATCATAAAGGTTTTTGATCATACTGTAGATTGGATGGTATTAATTTTTAAGATCTGAAGCTGATTTTAGATTAATGCAATTTGCTGCTTCAGGTATATTTTCCAAATTTTGCTTGGAATTTTATATTTAACGTATTTTTTAACTGTTATAGGGTAACTTTTTCTAGATAGGTATATTTAATATTTTAGACTGTTATACATATATTTAAACAATAAATACATTTTTATCTTTGTTTAGTTGTTTTACTATTGTAATTTCTTTGTCATTTTTTTTGTTGATGACACTACACTTTTGATGTCCATTTTTGTTGTTCAAAACATACATTTCTCTGTAGATTTAAGTAATTTGAATCCTCTTCAAAAAATAATGATTTTCTTAGAGCAGACGGAGATTGTATATTGTTGGTACAGAAGAGAAAATGACCAAGTTCAATAGTAACAAAATGTATTATTTACGTGTATTCTTTGTTTTTTTTACAGATGGACTTGAACAATTGTGTAATATCACTAGAGTTTATGCACACAAAAAATGGAGTTGGTCAATTTTTTTGTAATAGTGTCCAGTATAGAAAAAAACACATTTTTCTATAAATTTTGATTCCGCTATAATTTCCTTATGAATTCTTGTTTATTTTTTTATATTATACAAAATTTAAGTACATAATTTGAATCATCTTAAAAAATTCTGATTTTCTTCCGGTTAGTAGAAAATTTTGATATACAATTTTATGACAAAATGGTGAATGTATTTTGAAAATCTAATCTTTTGATGTTTAAATAAGATTATTGGATTAACTAAAAAACATTGCTGATTAATTTAAATGTTGATGTTCCAACAGAGCCTTTTGCTCAAATTTTATTAGGTAGTAAATTATTCAGAGGTATTTTATAAAATATACTAGCGTGTACACGCGACTTTGTTCGTGTCGAATTAATCATTTGTAATGGTGATGATAAAGCAAAACAAGAATTTCTACAAACTGGAAAAAAAATTTTCACATTTACGTCAGCATAAGAAAAAACAATATGGCGATATTATATATATATATATATATATATATATATATATATATATATATATATATATATATATATATATATTTATATATTTTATATTTTATATTTATATATATATATATATATATTTTCTTTCTCTTTTTCAGGATCGCGTGGAAAGTTCAAAACGAAGCTGATTGGCAAGTCCACGTAAAGATGAAGCCGATACATGACTAAAACATGACTACCCGTAGACACTCAGTGTTTCTTGCCTTCCGGCTTCATCAATACAGGAGGAATCAGCAACGATGAACTAGCGATCCTGAAAAAAAAGAGAAAGAAAAGGCAGAAACACTGAGTGTCTACGGTAGTCATGTTTTAGTCATGTATCATGACTAATCTTTCTGTGGACTTGCCCAATAAATTTCTTTTTCTTCGTTTTTTATAGTTTCCACGATAACTTCCTTGTTTATTGTTTTCTCTGGGCCAGGGTGATAGCGGCGAGGTGTGTTGAACGCCTCCGCGGCGGTTTTCGGTAGTAACGCTTTCAAATTGTAAGCTACTGCCGGACCAGCTGCAAATGGCGCCTTTGTGCCTCGTTTGCTTCTCCTTTTCTTTTCTTTTTCAGGATCGCTAGTTCATCGTTGCTGATTCCTCCCGTATTGATGAAGCCGGAAGGCAGAAACACTGAGTGTCTACGGGTAGTCATGTTTTAGTCATGTATCATGACTAATCTTTCTGTGGACTTGCCCAATAAATTTCTTTCTTCGTTTTTTATAGTTTCCACGATAACTTCCTTGTTTATTGTTTTCTCTGGGCCAGGGTGATAGCGGCGAGTGTGTTGGAACGCCTCCGCGGCGGTTTCGGTAGTAACGCTTCAAATTGTATGCTACTGCCGGACCAGCTGCAAATGGCGCCTTTGTGCCTCGTTTGCTTCTCCTTTTCTTTCTCTTTTTCTTTGTGGATCGCTAGTTCATCGTTGCTGATTCCTCCCGTATTGATGAAGCCGGAAGGCAGAAACACTGAGTGTCTACGGGTAGTCATGTTTTAGTCATGTATCATGACTAATCTTTCTGTGGACTTGCCCAATAAATTTCTTATATATATATATATATATATATATATATATATAACTTTTGGCAATATTTGAGGGGTAGTTTCATCTCGTTGGAATGAGACTTTCGAAAAATCCGTTTGCCAAAAATAAGCTTTTTACGTTAAGCAGTTTAAGCAGAATCGTGGTTACTCAATTATCCAACTTTTTGGAACACCCTGTATGATTTTTAAAAAAATTTCAAAATATGTAAAAAAAACAAAATAAATTATGCGTGTCCAAGCGTTTTCCCGAAAGAATAACCGTTATTTAAATAACAAATATTGTAATATTTGAGGGGCGTTTTCACCCTCTTGGAATTTGAGAATCGAGAAACTACTCCTTATCGAACCTCTACACGACCCCACAGTCAATCCGTTTCAAGCAGAATTGTGATTACTCAATGGTCATATTTTATGAAACACCCTGTATAAATTTTTAAAAAATCTTAAAATATGTAAAACCACAAAATAAAATATACGTGTTTTAAGAGTTTTCCAAAAAACTCCTCACCGGTTTTAAATAAAAATATTCTAATATTTGAGGGGTGGTTTCACCCTCTTAGAATTCGAGTTTCGAAAATTCCCTTATCGAACCTCTACATCCTAAAGTCAATCCGTTTTCCAAAAATCAGCTTTTTACGTCAAGCGCTTTAAGCAGGATCGTGATTAATCGCAATGACCAGATTTTTCGAAACACCCTGTATACATTTTTAAAAAATCTTAAAATATGAAAAAGAACAAAATAAAATATACGTGTTTAAGCGTTTTTTCGGAAACTTGACCGTTTTTTAAATAAAAAATATTGTAATATTTGAGGGGTGGTTTCACCCCCTTGGAACTGGAATTTCGAAAAATCTCTTCTTATCGAACCTGTACACCTTAGAATCAACCTGTATGCCAAAACTGAGCTTCTTACGTTTGAGTGGTTTGAGATCGAGTCACTTAAGGATTTTAGATAATTAGTATAGATTTTTATATGGAAAATGTCATCGATCGTCATTTCCTATAGCCAACTGGACGCTGCGCGCTGGACGCCATTTTTTTCGATCATACGGTATAAGCAATACAAAAAAATATTTTACTCTATTTATTAAAATACTGTGTACCAAAAAAAATCACAGTAGCATCACAGTAGCTTTTGTAATGGGAAAAGTTTATATAGTTTTTATCGAGCCGAAAAAATAATAAACATTTTTATTGAGAAAAAAGTAAAAACTTTTAATGAATCGGATGAAAAATTCTATAAAATGAAATTTTACAGGATTTTTATTTTATTGGAACGTCGTTCTACGTTTTCATTTTCCACGATTTTCCCTATGTATATTTCTAAATTCGTGGTATTCGCCTGCTATCATCATCGAACGATTTTTCTTGGAAATGAACCGAACCCGACCCGACCGTTTTATTTTCCAAGATATAATGGAAGAAAATATGTTTTCTAAGCACAGACAAAATAAAATTGAGGACGTTGCCCTTCGTAGTAAAGTTCTCGTCTGAGAAATCCTCACTCAGGCAAAAAATATAGCTAAAGATATTTTTGTAATGTTAACATGAGATAGTATGGATATTATATACAGGGTGGTCCGAATTGTACTCCGGAAACTTCGGCAGCATATTCTGCAGATAAAAATAAGCAAAAAAGTTCGTATAAAAGTTTCGGAGATGCAGGTTGTAGAAGTTTCATTTTTATTTCGATTTTTTCCAAAAAATTTCTGACATAACGTCAATATTTGGATGAAAATTGGTGTCTGGGAGTTTTTTGACATGAGAAATTTGATTTTGATGTCAATATGACCCCTACTTGTAGGTGGCGCCATCTACATGTGTTCATGGAAATATGTATGTGTGTATGGAAATAGATGTCTTTATTGCAAAAAAATAAACATGTTAAGTAGATAGTTATTTGACTGAAATAATAAATTGGGGATTTTTTTTAAATTAACCATAATTTTTTCTGCGAAGAAATGATGATAAAACAGTTTCTTGAACTTTTGGCACAAAAACATTTTAAATTTATGATTTCAGTCTAATAACTATTTATAGTCAACATGTTTAATTTATGTCAATGATGACAGGTATTGATAATTTCGATTCAAAATATCTTGAGAACCATTACTCGCAGCGATTTTTTCAGAGACTTTTTTTACGTAAAAAATGTCGTATATGTATATTTTTACTCAGTAGTTTTATACAGGTACGGACTAAAAGTTATTAATCTTCAAATCAGTTAAAAAATATGTAGGTGGTGCCCTCTACAAGTAGGAGCCACATTGACATCAAAATCAAATTTGTCATGTCAAAAAACTCCCAGATACCAATTTTCATCCAAATATTTACGTTACTTCATAAATTATTTGAAAAAAATCGAAATAAAAATGAAACTGCTACACCCTGTATCTCCGAAACTAAGCATTTTAGTACATACATTTATATGAACTTTTTTACTTATTTTTATCTACAGAATATGCTGCCGAAGTTTCCGGAATACAGTTTTGACTTTCTATAAAAAAATTTCTTAGTATTTTTAGTTGATCCCTCGTATACGGCCAGCGTTCTTACCTTAGATTAAGAATAAGTTCTGACTGATAAAATAGCACTTTCGCTGCACCCGGTAAACGTAAAAATTTTTTGTCACCTCTAAGGGTCACGGGCCGCCTTTGAAGTCAAAATAACAATATAATTCCTTAGAGTAAGCCAACTGGTATATATTCTTTAAACTGTGGTCTCGCGCTCGTCTCGCTCTCGTCTCGTCAGGTCTGGACGCACATTTAGCGGTTTTGCCCCTTGCCTACTCCCATGACGTCATAGTCATAAGCTGTAAGGCCTCTTTTTGTCGGCGGTTTTGGTCCGTCACGACCGCATCGATAACTTTCCGTCCACCTGCGCGCCCAATGGCCGCCGTTCAAATCGAACTGGCAGCGTAGCGGCCGCAGAACGCGCGGTCACCATCGTAGATAGTGCGCGTTTTTCGTTCGGAAGCGTGTTTCATTCGCGTCCAACCTATCATTTTTAGTTTAGTTTTTATTTTTTTACGTAGCGTCGCTTGTTTTATGTATATCGCTTGGACAGGTTAGAAAAAAATCAATTTTTCTCTCGTTTTTACCGGCTGATTTTTTTTCTTTCGTTTTTTTATTGTAGTTT